GCTTGCTCCAAGGATGGTTTCCAGAAAACTACACACAACCAGGCCTGGTGGCTCAGGCCTGCCTGTCATCCCAGTTAATCAGGAGTCTGAGGCAATAGGATGGTTGTCAGGGTTAGGAACAAGCATTGCTGAGCCACCTCACAGACCCCTCAAATAATGTTCTGGAAACAAAAGATACCACAAGCAAAAAACGAATGCACAGATGGCAGAATAGAAGATGTTTACAACATCCAAACTCAACAAGGGACTTCGCATCCAGGCATCCAGATCATATAAAGGAGTCCTACAACCCACAACTACAATAACAAGCATGACAATAACCACTAAACAGGAACAGCCACAGCAACAATCACCACCCATAATAACAGGCAAACCATAACAATAACCCCGTCAACAATTACCAGCCATAACAACCACAAACATAACAAAAACCACATCAACAATCACCACCCATTACAGGTACAACCATAACAACAACCACAGCAACACTCACCAGCCATAATAACAACCACAAACATCACAACCACAAACTATAATAACCACAATCATTACAACCACATCAATAATCACCAGTCATAATAACAACCACAACTATAAACAACTATATCAACAATCACCAACCATAATAACAAGCAGAAACAGCAGCAACCATGGTAATAATCACAGCTATAGTAACATCCACCAACTATAATAATCACAACCATAACAACAACTACAGCAATAATCACCAACTATAATAACAACTATAACCATGGCAACAACCAACAACTACAATTATAACAGCCATCACAATCAAACAACCTCTCAAACATAACAGCTACAACCACAACTGAAACAACAGCCATCACCAACACAACCATGACAGTCACTATGACTACAACCACAATCACAAAACCCACAACAATAGCCATTAAATCATAACAACAACCACAATCATAATAACCATAGCAACAGTCCCCAACCATAACAACTACAATAGCTACTACCACCACTACAACTATAACAACAGCCACTACTCAACAACCATAACTATACCCATAACAACAGTCACCAACATAACAACAGCCATAACAATAACAATTACTACAACATCCACCATCACCACGACAATAGCTCAAACACACACACACACACACACTCCAATGCATATGAAGCACCTAAGATTCATCAATAGTCAATGTAAGGGACATTTCAATGCACTGAGCTGTCTCCTGGCACACACTAGACATTCAACGGTCCACTTTCTGGATAAAAGCTAATGGAGGCCGAAGAACTCCCAGCACTTTAGAGGAGATGGCACCAGAGGCAGTGGAGTCTGGGTGCACTTAGTCAAGAGTGTACACACCCTGGAATATATTGTTCCAAAGCCTCAGGAAGCATGTTTACAAAGTCACAGCATCAGGGCTGGGGACAAGGCTCAGTTTATAGAGCACTGGCCTAGAATGCACTGAGCACTGGGCTCATCTCTAGTGCTGTGTAAAACAGGTGTGGTGGTGCATGCCATGCCTGTAACCTCAGCACTTAGGAAGTGAAGGCAGGAGGATCAGAAGTCCAAACTCATCTTGGCTATGTAACCAAGTTCAAGGCCAACCTGGTCTGTGAGTAAAGGGTGCTCTCATAAGTCCATGGAGTATAGGACTACTACAAGTGACTTTGAGGGAGTCGACAGTGAAGAAGAGACACACTTTGTGAGGACCAATGGACTGGTGAGCCCTCATCAACATGAGTAGATCTCCAGAAGATAAGAAACATCATTAGAGTCATAGCACATGGGTAAGCTGAAGCAAGCATGATGGTGCAGGCAGGTACATCTGTAATCCCATTCCACTCAGGAAGATAAGACAGAACAATGTGAGTTCAAATCCAGGCTGGGCTACATATTGAAATATTTTCTGGGGGGAAACAGGCAAAACAAAACAAATAACAACCAAAAGTATGAGTTGAGATATACACACAAAACACCATTTTTTCAAGATCTCACACAGAAAAAAAAAAAGCAACATAAACTCCACTAAACAGATAACAAGTATTGCCTATGAAGTGGGGAGCAGTCTCAGGGGAAGTGGGGTGGTAGAGAATGAAGAAATGAGGGACGCTGGGGAGATGGCTGTCGGTAGAGTGCTTGCCTCACAAGTACCAGGACCTGAGTTCAATCTCCAACAACAGGCATTGAAGTGTATGTTTACAATCTCAAGACTGGGGCAGCAGAGACAGGCAGATCATCAGGCTCACTGCCAGCCAGCCTAGTCTATTTGGTGAGTTCCCAGCCAATGAGAGAAGCGGCCTCTAAATAAATAAATAAAATGAAAAAGATGGATGCTGCTTATGGAAGATACCCAAGGTTGACCTCTGGCCTCCATATGCGTGCACACATATGCACCTGCACCTGTGTTATTCTAGAGAGACAGAACAAATAGGATGCACATTTTATATATCAAGTATGTTAAAGAATGTATTGAATCAGCTTACTCTGAAATAGTCCCAACACCATGAAGCTGAGACTCTGGTAATTTCTTGGTCCTTGAGGTTCCTCACACAGTCCTAAGCCAGTACTGAAAATGTAGAGGCTCCTGGAGACTTGAAGGTCCTTAGTCTATGATAGAAGCCTCAAGTCACTGGTCTGATACCAGTGAGGAAAGATCATCAGCAGCAGCAGCATCAATCAACTCTGCAGCAAGAGGCAAGGCCAAGCCAACAAAAGGCAAGTGATCTTCCTTCTTCCATGCCCTTTAACCTAGGCTCTTACTAGTAGGCGCTGCCCACATTTGGGTAGCCCCCCCAATCAATTAAGAAAATTAAGACAATTCCTCAAGTTGGGCTCCCTCCTCAGGTAATTTTAACTTGTAGCACACACAGATACAAAGACACACACACACACACACACACAACACACACACACACCATACACGAGGCACAATAGGGAAGGAAAGCAAGCCTTGTATTTTCTATGCTGATTTTGTTGTGCTATTCCTCATTCGCCTTTGACCTCTAACCTGGACACACTCTGCCTGGAACCCCTCTTACCTCCCCATAGCTGACTCCCTTCTTACCTGTGGAGTCCCTCTTCCACCTCTGAGAGGCTCTTCCTGACAGCATCCCCTCCCCCAGCTCTCAGGCTAGCCCGCCCCTCCCCATCACACTCATGATTTCCTGTTTGCACTCGTGATTAGCTGAAACCCTCTCATTAAAAAACAAAAATATGTTTAGTTGCTTGTCTTGCTTCAACGGTGGGCAAGCTGAGAAGAGGGAGGGACTGAACCAGATCAGGCCAGAGCAAGGAAAAACCCTGGGAAGGCTTTACTCCAGTGACAGGAAATGGAACATTCATTCTGACAGCCGTGGCTATCACCGTGACCTGTGGGAGGCACAATAGGGATGGGAGAGCTCAGAGCAGAGGTCACAGGGAGAGACAGCAGTGGCAGCTTGGGCTGCGTCATGGCGATGGAATTGATGAGAGCAGAAAGGTTTTCATAAACAGTTCTGCGTGATGCAATGGGAATGAAGCCAAGAGTGGAGAGGGGAAGGGCCTATGTCAGAGCACCAAGTCTCATTAAGTTTTCCCCCTCCGGGGCAAGGCTCTCTTCTGCATCTCCGCCACCTTAATACCACGCAACAGATATGTATGTGAGAAAACAAACCAGCAAAGACCAGACAGGGCCCAAGTGTGGCCGACTGGGGTAAAGCCTGGACCCTTCTGCGTGCAAACCTTCCCACCCCACAGTTTCTCCGAGATGGATTGACACAGTCTGCCCACCCCACTGCACAGAGTGAGGCAGCGGGAGTGGATCCCTTGGTTGAGCCTGACATTTAGCTTTCCAGAAGCAGCTATCCAAGCTAGCATGAATGGGTGAGTGACTGATCAGGTCATGCAAGCTCTAAGTCTTTATTGCCCCCTCACCCGGCCTCAGCAGCAAACAGCCACCTGCCCACTCGTTTTGCGTGTTTGTTTGTTGATAGGCATACTGTCCACCTTTCTCTAGAACCTAGAATTTGATTTTAGAGTCTGGAATGGAATCGAAGCAAGAGCTATTTAAAATCGCCACCTGCCTTCTCCAGCTCTCCCATCCTCCCAGCATCTAGTCTGTCTGACATAGTCCCCTACTTCTGTTTACAGTCGCTCTCCCGGCAGCCCCGCGACCCAAAGGCTTGTAGTCTTCGCAGCTGTATCTACGTGCAGAGCCTGCATGCAGTAGGCACTCAGCCTCGTGGTGGCGGAGACGCAGCCGGCCCTCCTGGGTGGGCCCCGCGGCCTGAGCCAGGGCCGGGCCGGGCACGGAGGGGTTAAGCCGCGCGCGCTTCCGACCCGCAGGTGGCGCCGTCCCGCCTCGGTGCCACTCGCCGCGCTCCGAAGTGCGGGACAGAATCGCGGCGAGCGCGGAGCCGAAGCTCAGCCCGACTTGTTGATCTCGCGCAGGCAGCCGCGGCCGCCGCCAAGCCGAGCCGGAGCCCGAGGTGGAGGCGGAGGCGCCGCGGATCGCCCGGGCCGCGCAGTCCCCGAGCCCCGCAGAGCGCCCCGCCCGCGCCCCGCAGCCCCGGTGCCGCCCGCCCGCCCGCCCGCCCGCCCGGCCGGGGTAGGCCCAGCCCGGCCCCGGGACCGCCGCTGCCGCGGGCGGGGGCGCGGGCGGCCGGCAAGATGCGCGCGGCGCGGCCCCGGGAGGCGGCCGCCCTGGGGGTGAGTGTGGCGGGGACGGCGCGGGCCCACCCCGGGGCGGGGGGCGGGGCGTGCGCCCGGCGTGCTGTGGGCCCCGGGAACCCCCCGAAATCACCGGTGCGTGGCGGGAGGAGGGCACGCTCCGAAAGGCCAGAAGATTCCGCTGGTTTCCCCGCCTCCCACCTCCCCCACCCCTTCCCTCCCGAGCCCGGGCAAAGGCGCAGAACCCGGAGTTATAAAAAGCCATTGCCGGGAGGAGCGAGGAGGAGGAGCAGCGGGAGGAGGGGGAGGAGGAGAAAGGAGGGGGAGGGGGCGGGAGGGAGGGGAGCATCAAGCAGGCAGATCCAGAGGACTCCGCGCCCCTCCTGCGCTAGGGTGAGGGGCGCACAGGGAGGTGTAGACCCCGCTGGCTTGGTTCCTTCGACCCTCACCTGGTCTCGGGAGCGACCTCGAGTCCTGATGTTGTGAGGAGTGGGGTCGCCCCAGGACAGGGTTGCCTGGTGACCTCCGACAGGTGGGCATCTGGTAGCTTCCACAATCCCCACTCGATCCAAAATCTTTTAAGATTTAGGAAAAGCAAGCCCAATGCCATCGCTATGCTCCCACCCCAAAACCTGGGGTGGGAGGAGATGAGAACTCACTAAAAAGAGAAAGAAAAGTTCTCCCTGCCTCTCCCTGCCTCCCCATTGCGGAGCCAGGTTGGGCATTCCATCCCGAGACCCGCAGAGCAGGGAGTTTCAGCACTCGACGGGGCGGACAGCGCCCCGGGCGGCCGGATTGCGCCAGGGCGGGGGTGGGGCTTCCTGGGAACCTCCTGGGGGCCTCTTCGGCCCGGAGGGCCACCCCCTCCCTCGGTCCTGGGGTGGGGCTGACTTCAGCACTGGCGGGAGGGACAGCGGCCATCAGTCTCTTCCCCCCCCTGCTCCCCCCCAGTCCCCTCTGAGCCGCTTAAGCCTCGGGAAGGTCAAGGCCGCCAGGGACCCTGGGGGAGGAACCTCGCAGCGCGTTCGCTGACCCGCGTCCGCTTTCGCTTTCTGCCTCGCAGCCGTCGGGATGGAGGTGAGACGGCAGCGGTGACGCCCGCCCTCGCGCACCTCTGCACCGCAGCAGCCCGCAGCGCTCCCCGCCCCCCGCCCCCGCGGCAGCGGGCCTTGCCGTCGAGTGACAGCGGCCTGGGGGGGCAGGGGGGGCGGGGGCGGCCGGACCAGCGATGCCGGCGGGCATGACGAAGCATGGCTCGCGCTCCACCAGCTCGCTGCCGCCGGAGCCCATGGAGATCGTGCGCAGCAAGGCGTGTTCACGCAGGGTGCGCCTCAACGTCGGGGGCCTGGCACACGAGGTGCTGTGGCGCACTCTGGACCGCCTGCCCCGCACGCGGCTGGGCAAGCTCCGGGACTGCAACACGCACGACTCTCTGCTCCAGGTGTGCGACGACTACAGCCTAGAGGACAACGAGTACTTCTTTGACCGCCACCCGGGCGCCTTTACCTCCATTCTCAATTTCTACCGCACGGGCCGGCTGCACATGATGGAGGAGATGTGCGCGCTGAGCTTCAGCCAGGAGCTGGACTACTGGGGCATCGATGAGATCTACCTGGAGTCCTGCTGTCAGGCCCGTTACCACCAGAAGAAGGAGCAGATGAATGAGGAGCTGAAGCGCGAGGCCGAGACACTGCGGGAGCGGGAGGGCGAGGAGTTCGACAACACGTGCTGCGCGGAGAAGAGGAAGAAACTCTGGGACCTCCTGGAGAAGCCCAACTCATCGGTAGCCGCCAAGGTGAGTCTGGGGTCTGCTCCACTCATGGAGGCCTACATTGCGGCTCCAAACTCCTCTTGATGAGAAGGGACTGCAAGTGAGTTCTCCAAGGACCACCATTCTTGCACCCTTCCCATGGGTCATAAGACCTCCCTCTTGGATGATTCAGTGCTGTGTACCCCCACTTTGTTACCGGGGAATCGTTTATAGGACTATAAAATGCTACAGTCGCAATGAGAGCAGAGGTGTCCTGCCCTCCAGGCCCTAAGTCCAGGCCGCAGTAGCTAGCCCTGCAGTCGTGGTATCTAGCCCCGTGTTATAACCCACTTTGCCACCAAGGAAGGGTATAAACGTAACCTACAGGCACGCTTGATGGAGGCTGAGGTGCGCACGGGTATTTTAGGAGATGACATAAGATAGGGAAACCTAGTGGCAAGGACAGGCTTGCCCAAACCTTCGCTAAGGGACTGTGGGTGAGGGCCCGGCTGGCTCCTTGTTTATGTACTTGAAGTGTGGTGCAGTTTCAGTTGGCTGTTGGAGAAGGATGTGAATTTCCAAATCAAAGTAGAAAATAAGCCTAGGGAAAGAGACAGGAGTGATGTAATCACACAGGGTGAGCTGTTGTGGCCTTGGGGGCCAGGAGGGGCTTGGGGTGAGGACCGGAGCAGGTGTAATTCCTGAGTCAGACTGGCACCAGGGAGTGTCTGGAGGGTGAGGGGGTGAGGGCTGCCTCACGTGGCCTGCATGTTGGGTGCCAGGAGTAAATGACAGCGCAGTGTGTTCAGGGCTGCATGGGAGGTTGGGAAGGGGCCCAGAAAAGAGATGTGTGGGAATCCAGAGAGATCAAGTTCAGAAAGAAGAGAGAAGAATGTCTCTGAGAGGAGAGACCAGGAGAGAGGACTAGAGGCGAATGGCTCTATGCTCAGCCAGCCATAGCTTAGTAGTAGGGCCTGGCTCTTGGCCAACCTGGCCTCTCAGTGTGGAGTCTTGGTGGCTCAACTGGCCCCTCACTGGTCCCTTCTTAGAGGGGACTCTGGGGTTATTTCTAGAGAATTAAGTTGCTCAAGAAGGCTGCAGTAGACACAGAAAGGGCTGTCTAGTGGAACATATGAAGATCCTACAGTCATTTTCTCTCACGCCTGGACTCTGAGGATATAGAGGCCCCTGGGCCTGGTCCTCCTCCTGGGAGACTCTGACCATAATCCGTCCCCAGTTTCCGTGTCCAGAAAGCCACCCTCTAAGATGAGAGGTGCTCACCCTTAGCCGGCTTAGGATCAACAGACTTATTTTGCTATTTCTAGGCCTGACACAGGTTCCCCCGCTGCTCAGCCCATTGAGGCCCAGGCAGGCCCCTCCTTCCTCACCTGCCTGTCCTTAAGACACTAGATCCAGGGGCAGGAAGTGGGGATTTGCCCTCCCCAAGAAGAAACGACTGTGTTAGAGTTGGCATCTGGCTGCAGGGCACGGGCAGTGTGTGGGAATGAGCAGTCTCTCCTCTTTCTCCACTTAATCGGCTCACCCGGACAGCAGCGTGACCTCACTGTGATCCAGGCTGAGCAGTTAGCTCACACTCTGGCAGTTTCTGCAGCCAGAGTTGAAATGGGAAGGCTCGCTGGCTGTTGGTAAAGAAACTTGACAGCCACTGAGCACCGTGTCTAAGAAATGCAAAGCTCAGAGACCTAAAGTAATTTGCCTAAGGTCACAAAATGCACCTCTAGAAGTGGCCAGAAATGCACCCCCCCCCCACTGAAGTTTGGAATGCCCTGTTCTGACTGGGGCCACAGGTGCCTCCCTAAGGTCCTTCCATCGATTTGCTTCCCCTGCAGCCCAAGGTGTAAGCCAGATTGCATTATTCATCTGTTTGAAACCCACGGAGGTTTCTGTCACATGCAGCACAAAATCCACATGCCACCATGTATCAGAGGTCTAGACTGGCCCTCGGAGCTCTTTAGGCTCATCTTTCCTGTTCTCTTCTGGCTCATGTGGTCCCAGTCCCACTGACTTCCTTACTGTTCTAAACAGGCTGTGATCTGTTCTGCCCCAGGACCTTTGCATTTACTTTTGTGGCTACCGACAGTAGCTTTCCCCAGATGGTTTCATGAGCCCCTTCTCTGAATGTCCCCATTTGCTACAGTCCCCTACCCAACTGCTTCCCATGTGCAGTATCTTTCCTGTATGAGCTTTAAACACTATTTTAAATCATATTTGGTTCACATGTTTCTGTTCTACACCCACAAAGATATGCACTGCTGTGTTCATAGCATGAATCATGGTGCCTGGTTCAGAGGGCTCTGAATATGTAGGATGGAGGGGTTTGTTGGGTCTAGGATGTTTGGATGGATGGATGAGTGAATGGGTGGATAATGGATGGGTGTATGGATTGGCGGACGGATGGATGGGAAGATGGATAGATGGGTGCATGGATTGGTAGATGGATGAGTAAGTGAATGAATGGATAGGTGGATGGATGGGTGGGTGGATGGGTAGATAATGGATGGATAGGTAGATGGATGGATGTATTGGTAGATGTGTTGATGGTAAGTAGATGGATGGGTGTGGGGGGTAGATGATGGTGGATGTGGGTGTATGGATTTATGGATTGGGGGATGAATAGATTGGTGGGTGGATACATGGATGGGTCGATTGGTGGATGAATGGGTGGATGGGTGAATATATCAAGCAGCTATCAGGCACTGACTATCTCAGGGTCCTGCCACCAGTCAGCCACTTCCTTCTCATAGGCTTCCTGTAGCTCAACTTCCTAAAACTCGGCTCTCTCTATCACCTGCACCTGGCCCACCCTATCTGACAAGCTCCAAAGCCAATGAGCTGGGGGAGAGGGGCGGGGGGTGATCCTCAGAGAACACACAGTCTAAGGGCCAAATGGATCATTTCAAGGTAGCTCTGAGGTGCAGAAATGGCCACCTCTCACATTCTAGAGAAAGGACTGGCAGGGTTGTATGAGCAGCCAACTTCTCACTACCCTCCTGCCCGAGGCCGTTTTTCAACTCCCCCTTTCCTGCCTCCCATCTGTAAAATGAAGACTGAAGACCACTTTGCGGTGCAGTTGTGTTTGTGGTAGCTTAGCACTCAGCTCTAGTGGGAGGGTGCTGTTGGGATCTGCGCTGAGTTGCTGTGTCCTTTCTCTAGGCAGGGAGGGCAGCAATCACTTTCCTCCTGATAGTATCCTGGGGAGACTGAGCCGAGCTGGTGAATAATTGATGGGCTCTTCTGCCAAGTGAGGGACAAACCAACCATGGGGCCCTGGATGCTTCCTCAGGGAGTGGAGAGGAAAACCCATTAGGCTGTTTGGGAGGTAGGGTCAGCTCTGTCAGGGAGCCGGCCCTGGCTTCCTCTGAGGTTCTGCTCTCTGGGAACGCTCTCAGGCTTCTCTCAGGGGGTGTGAGGAGAGCTAATGTGTGAGGCCAGAGTCTGCAGATTAAAGCTCCAAGACAGCTTCCAAACTGCCAGAGTGTTATTGTGCTGGGCACAGATCAGTGGTCTCTGGAGCTGGTGTGATCCAGAAGTTCCTTCTTCAGCCTTCCTGGGCAGTGGGGGAGCCCATTAAAGCATCTTTGGATTGTAAGTGACAAAGCAGAAAACTCAAAGTAGCTTCAATAAGGAGGAAGATGTGTCACAGCAGCATGTCTCCTGCCATTCCAGGGTATCACAAGTTTGGGTTGAGTTGATTGAGTTGATGATTCAGTGACCCTATCAGAATTCGTGTGGTGTGTGTGTGTGTGTGTGTGTGTGTGTGTGAGAGAGAGAGAGAGAGTGTGTGTGTGTGAGAGTGTGTGTGTATGTGAGTGTGTGTGAGTGTGTGTGTGAGAGAGAGTGTGTGTATGTGTGTGTATACGTGTGTGAGTGTGTGTGTGAGTGTGTGTGTATGTGTGTGTGAGTGTGTGTGTGTGAGTGTGTGTGTGAGAGAATGTGTGAATGTGTATATGTGTGTGTGTGAGTGTGTGTGTATTTGTGTGTGTGTTTAGTTACATTGTTGCTTTGTATGTGCGTGAGACCATGTATAGAGGTCAATTTGGGGGACTCAGTCCTCTCTTTCCACGGTGTGAATCGGACTTGATGGAAAAGCTCCTTACCTGGTGAGCCATCTTTCTGGCCCTAAGTGTTGTTGTTTTGAACCTCATGTGTTTTGTTATGTTTATTTATTATTTATTTACTTCTTGTGTGTCTACTCATGCATGCTATAACACTGTTGCGAAAGTCAGAGGACAGCCTGTGAGAGTTGGTTCCCTCCTTCCGAATGTGGGTCCTGGGAATTGGACTCAGGTCATCAAGCTTGGTAGCAAGTTCAGCCCTCCATTGTGCCATCTCGCCAGCTCAGGATTCAATATTCTCTGTATCTCTCTGCTTCTCTAGACCCCGAAAATGACTTGGTACTTATGCTTGATGTCGAATGTCAGAAGGTAACTGTCAGGTTCCAGCACACAAATGTAGACACAAAGATGTTTACCCCTCAAGGAGGGATATTTTCTCTGTGCTCCAAAATCAGCTCCATTTTGTTTTCCTTTAAGGACAAACTCTCCCAGGAGTACCCTAGTAGATGTTTCCTGACAGTCTTGGCCATTGATCACATACTCATGCTGTAGTGGTAAGGGAATCTGGGAAAGCAAGTGGCTGGTGTTTTCAGATGGAGAGCATGAGTTTGATAAATGAAAACATGACCCTTATCAATAAAGGAAACCGGCTCCATGGAGTGGCATGCCTTCACCTAAGCCTGGGCTAAAGGGATCAGTAACCGTGTGTTAAAGGGGTGGAAATAGTGTCTTAATTATTGTTCCATTGCTGTGACAAAATACCATGACTGAGGCTAATTTTTAAAGAAAGCATTTAATTTAGTGCTTGCTTACAGTTTCAGAGGCTTAGTCCGTGACCATCACAGCAAGGATCGTGACAGCAGGCAGGTATGGCCTTCGGGCCATAGCTGAGATCTACAGGGCAGACTGGGCTTGGCCTGGCCTTTTGAGACCTCTGAGCCCTCCCCCAGTGACACACCTCCTCCAAGA